AGGACGCGTCGGCGAACGTGCGAGCGACGAGTGCCTCGTTTCCACGTTAGGAAACGCGACCGCCATCATCGTCTCGTACGCCGCTTATCAATCTCGATCTCGCGCCTTATCTCGCCGCGCAGATACGCCAGCCGAATGTACGCGGATGGCGACCACCAACGCGTAACGCGAACGATTCGCTGATCTCACTTTTTAATCGTGTTCGTAACTCGTTCCCGCGGAGGTTAACTCGATCTTGAAGCGAGCGTAAGTACACGCCTGTGTATACGCGCTCGGCGAAGCGCGAAACGAAAACAGGCTGCGGGGAAACGGAACGTTCCCCTCACCCTTTTGTGTAGGCAAACAAACGAGAAAAGCAGCAGGTGGCGTTCGTTCGGAATTTAAAGTCCGTGGACGTGGGACGATAGCTGTCGCGTTGATCCATTTACATAAATTCCGTGGGGACAGAGACGCAGCACAGCGATTTCGGTCGATTCCGTTTAAATCCTCTTGAAAGGTTCTCTCAAATTTTAGCTACTGTAGGAACATGTTTTATACCGTGCGTACGAGCACATACGCAAGTACACAGCATAAATGCGTACTTACGCGTACTCGACCGGTTGGAATTAACGTTCAAGGCACGCGCGGTCCGCGAACCGTCGCCCTCGTTGCTCTAGTTCAGAATGATTCCGACGCGTCTGTGACGATTAAACCTTCAACTCCATTCGCGAAACCAATTATACGACGCCTGCCGCTTCGTCGACGACTCTTGTCTCACACGGACACTGCCGTACGTGTCTCGGCTGCGTATAGACACGCGTCCACCTGTGTACATATATGACACGGTTTATTTTCTTCCGCCGGACCCGGCTGGGAACTCGAAATCCTGCGCGTTACTGCACCGGAGGTAACGAATGAGGGAGAGAGAGAGAGAGAGAGAAGCGCGCACACACATAAAAGCGAACCCCGGGGGAACCCAGAAGCGGTCGTCCTTCGACGAAATAATTGCGGAACACGAGCCAGCTCGCGCCAGCTCTCTGCCATTTAACGGCGGTATTCGCCGCGCGTACACCGTGCAGTCGTTATCCTCGATTTATGGCCAAGCCTGGCCCGAATCCTTATGCGGCGCGGTATTTGGTTAGGTACAGGTTCGCTCTGGAAAGGATGGTAGTCGGGTTTAAAGGAAGAACCGGAGGAAGGCGGTAAGTCTGCTAGATACGGCCGTTATTCTCCATTTGCGATTAGAGCGGCGCCTCTACGAGGTGCTTCGATCCATTCTTTCGGATCGGAGACCGCGACCCGTTGCATCTCGGACGCAATATTTCCATTGGCCTGACCCGACCGTGATGAAACGATAGAACGTTTCAGAGTAATCGAGCGATCCATTTATCTCTATATCGCGAGGAGACATCGATGCGATGAATACGTAATACATGGTCGATAACGACGACGATTCGCTGGACACGACTCACCACAAATTCCGATGAGTCAGGTTTAGCTTATCGCGTACAAAGGAAATCAGAGTAGACCGCGCGTGTTCCACGATAGCCGGGATGCGTTTCACCGGGCAGCGTTGCTATAGTACATGTAACTACGTATTTTTGCAAGTCGCGGGCGCATACTCATGTGGAATCCAGGATCCTGGATAAATCCTCGTAGGTAGGAACAGTGCGTAGGGGTGGGACGAGTAAATAAAATCAATTAAAAAGTTTGGTCGCGGCGCGAAAGTCGGAATCAGAGTTGGGGAGTTGGCGCAAAGTTTGTCGTTGCATCGCACGCGATTCTATGGAACGCGTGCGTACCGTGGTAGCGAGCTGAAACTCGTGCCATAAACCGACGATGCACGAGCGCGTAATACCCTGCTACCAACGACCGTCTCGCGGTAGTTTCCTTAACTTTCAGACTTTCGCGTCGAACTCGTTAATGGTTTTCGGTGGTGTGCGCGCACACGGCCTCTTCGTTGCCATCGCTTCGTTGCTCTCAACGCTTCCCTCCGCTCGAAGCTACCGTTACACCGTCTTCTAAGCGAATTCTCTGTGAATTTATTCGTCTGTTTATTCCACGGTCGTCCCGCTATTCTTTATTCAGTGATAGCGATTCCATAGATAATTTCGTGTTTGTCGATCGTAATTTATCAATTCCCAGAAAGGAACATCGTATCCGAAGAACGAAGTTTTGTTAAAAAAATAACTGAAGAGGAGCGGACGAATCGATTGAAAGTGCTTTATCACTCGCTCTCTGTTCCTCGAAATCTTGTTCGCTTTGTAACCTCGTACGTGAAAATATTTCAGCGGAAAAATATTTGCGCTCGTAACGAGGTACGAGTAATTTTATCGCGAATTTCAGGAGAGCATTCCGCGGAGATAATTTGATGAAGGAAGAAGCGGGTAGGAACGGTGAAACAATTTTCCGACGGTATTAGCGAAAACGAACCGGATACTGGGAACCCGTGCGTTTGCGGGAACGAGAGCACCCACGGATCGTTACTGAAGGGAGAGACAAGAGAACCGAACCTCTGTATGTACATACATATGTATGTGGATCGAAGCATCGCGCGCCTGAATCATCCACACGATGTCCGCGCGCGTATCGACGCGTTTTCGAGGCCGAGAAGGGGAGAGACCGATGCACGGAAAGAGAGAAATAGAGAGTGAGAAAGCGAAGGAAAAGGGCTCTTCCCTCGGTCTCCCCGACCCGTGATTACTCTCTGCGGTGTATCGATCAGACGACGGCTCTCGCAATCCCGCGATTCGCGGAATCCTTCTCTCGGCGGCCTACCCCCTTTCCCTTCGTTTCGAGAAAGAGAAAAGACCTCTCTCTCCTTCTTTCGATCGTATCGGTGATCAAGACTAGGAATGTCATTAAAGATCGCGACGCCAAATCGACGAGGATCCTCCGTCGCCGAGCGTCGAGACATATACGCGATAGCTGAGGAAGACTGTGATCGGAGAACCGGATGGAACGGAACGGAACGAGCGCGTGGCTATTACGGGACCGCGGCGATTCGACTTTTCTCTCGCGCCTCGTTTCCTCGTACGTCGTACGATATGTATACTTGCATACGGATGCCTCGCGCCTCAGGGCGAGAAGAGAGTAGCGGAAGAGCGACGAGAGGCGAGGCGATTCGAGTGGACTGGAGAACAGGACAGGTTTTCGGTCGCGTGTATCGATAGCGACGAGGTGACTCGCGACGGTGGAAAGAGACTACGGTTCTGCCTGAAAGATGGAGAAGAAGAAGAAACAGAAGATGGTGGCAACCGGGGTTTAACGAAACCGGTCGAGGTCCGTCAAACCGGTTCGGCTGGTTCTCCGTTTGCCGTGTCGGCTCTCTCGTCGCGTCGCACACAAGGGATCCCGGCGGCGCGGTGGAACGGAGATATCGACCTCTCCCTTTCCTTCTCCTTCTCCTTCTGGGGCGTCCAACGCCAATTTCTCTACCCGGTCCTCCTCTACCCCTTCGGAACGCATACGTGTATCTCGAACGGAGATCGCCATCGGTGACTCTCTCTCACGTCCGTACGCCCTTGCGTTCGTGTGCACGCTCCACCACACCGAGAGGATCCCCTTTAACGCTGTTAACCGAGAATGCGACTACACCCACCACGAGTCCGCGATTCTGCTTGCCTCGAGAATTATGGCGCAGAGGGATCCTCGTATCTCCGCCCCTGTTTGATAGTCCCGTCGCGATATAAACTTGCCAGGCTATCTCCGCGTCTCTCTCTCTCCCGATCGTAACTCTTCGTCCGTGTCTCGATTCTCTTCCCGTCGATCTCGCTCTATCCTTTCGCGAAGAAGGCAACGGGACAACTGACGATGGAAAGGGTAAGAGAAGAAAGAACGTCCTTTCTCGACGCTGCACGCGTAGACGCGTGAGCGTGTATCTACGCTATGTACGTGGACGCGAGGAGGAATTCCTCTGTACACGGTCAGGGAAATCCGTAACGTCAAACCGGCTCGTCTCTTGACCCACTCCACGGTTACACGGTTCGGTCGTAATTTACGCTCGTCGCGTTGCGCACTCGTAAAGTGGTACGTAGAACACGATATCTGTGTATCTAATTTTTCGTTAGAAGAATAAACAAATGCGACCGAAAACGAGTTTTGGAAAGTACGGTACTACTTATCAAAAGGGAAAAATGCTTCGATTATCGCGATCTAATTAATTTCTCGATCCGGACCACCGTGTGGCGGCTGGTTGGCACGAGGCCTGCGAGTTTCGGAACAAGAATGAGAAGAGAGTGCGGGAAAGAGGTCTCTGGCTACTGGCCAAACGTTTTATTTTTGTATCGAGTCTCCCCCGGTATCGTTTTCGCTTCGTACCCAGCACCAACCCCTTCCTCTCCCTCCACTCTCGATTCCGATCCTCCTTTCGCTATTTTCTCTCGCTTTCGCGAGAAAATCTCTCTTCGACCGAGTCGTTCGGGAAGCGAGTTTATCGACAAACGCGCGCGGGAGATCCTCGTCCTCTCCCGTTGCAGGGTGCTGCGCTGGCAAAAATAGAGCGGTTCCGAAATAACCAGCCAACGCGAAACGCGAACGTCTCGAGAAACCATTTTCCGATCCTCTTCGTCCGCCGCGCCGTTCGTCTTGCCCACCGATCTCCTCTCCTTCCGCCGTCCTGCTTCATTCACCGATCTCTCGTCGCTCTTTCGTTCCACCAGCGTTCAAAGCTCGATCATTATCGTCGACCGATGACTCGAACGTTTGCGATTTCGAACAAACGTTTAACCGGCGTCTACTCATATTTTTGGCTACGAGAAAGCTAGGCCGTCGAACTAGTAGTTCTTTCTCTCTCTCTCTCTCTCTCTTCCTTTCTCACGAATTCATTTTTCCTTTGAACCGAAGGATCTTGAAAAATATTTCGCGTACTAGGACGAAACGGTGGGGGGCAGTTAGGTGGTAGCAAGGATTTCAAAGATAAATGAGAATTTAAACTTGATGCGTAGGAAAATTTGTCATCGGATCGGCGGCTACGATCTACGATCGCGGCTAATCCGTCGTCGTTTCGATCGTTGTTTCAGAAAAGAACTCGGCGACGCGAAACAACCGACGAAGACGCGTCAGCGAGGACGGCAGTCGCGAGAAAGACGCGGACGAACGTGGTTTATCGACGCGACGAGAGGATCGAGAGAACAAGGGACCACCGGTGGCGAGACTCGGCAATCGTATACCGCGAACGGTGTTGGAGGAGGCGAACGACGAGCGAACGAGCAGCGCGGCAAAGTTGCGAAAACGAAGCACCGCTGCCGCGAACGGTCCGTCTGAGAATTCGTTTCAGAGACAGGCGCGACGAAGGCAGAGACCCGTCGACCAAGAAACGAAATCTGATTCGGAAGATCCGAACGAGAAGTTGCTCGAGCGGGAAGACCGTCTGACCGGCGGATTAGAAGACAAGGGGGAGGAGGAGGAGGCGGAGGAACGGGCAGGGCAAAGAGAAAGGGGAAGCGATCGCGACCGGAACGAGAATCAGGAATCTCGTGATCCTCTCGCGACCAAGAGGCTCAGAACAAGTTCGATCGGTGGTGGAAGACTCGAGAACGAGATAAAAGAGGAAGCTGGCCAGGAAGTCGCTCCGGAGAAAGTCGAAGAGTTCAAAGAGCAGGAGGATCACGACGTCGAGGCTGAAGAGACGACAGAGAAACTCGAGGAGAACGAGGAGAGTCGATCTAGGGAACGAGACAGGGAGCCCGAGCCTCCCCCTCCGAACGAATCTGTAGATCCTGGAGGCGAAACGATCGGCGCCCAGCGGGATCGGGAGGATCGGGAGGATCGGGAGGTTCGCGAGAATTGCGAGAAACGGGCGACGCCGGTTAATGGATCGGTGGTCGGCGAGAAGAAGGAGGAGGACGACGACGACGACGCCCTCGCCGTCGTCGCTGCCGCTGCGAGTCCCTTCGCGGATGGCGACGCGGTGCTGCTAAAGCCCGCGGACGAGTCCAAGATCGAAGACGTCGCGCGAGAAGAAGAAGAATCGGAAAGGGATCGAAAACGGACAGAGGAGAGGAAAAGCGAGACTGAAGCGACGACGAAGACGACCATCACCGAAGCAGGCACGGAGGATATCGCGGTGGGCAGCAGTGCGAGGGCCTCGAGCGTCGAATCGGTGGTCGAGTTGGTGGAATCCAGCAGTCAGGACTCAGGCTCCGTGCTGGAGAGGCTGAGTCCGCTTAGCAGTAGCGGCGGCGGCGGTGGCTCTGGCAGGCAGAGCCTGCTCCTGGAACAGCAACGGGAGCAGGAGCGAAACCGGCACAACGAGAGTCCCATCATCTTAGCCGAGAGACTGAACAAGCCGCCACCGCCGGTCGCCGGTCACCACCAACATCACCACCTCTACCTTCACACGCAACAGCAGCAACAGCAGCAGCAGCAACAACAACAATACCACCACCAACAACAGCACTCGCAACATCAGCAACTCCACCACCAACATCATCAGCGATACGCGTCGAACAGTCCAGTGACGCATCACCACCACGCCCAGCAGCAGTTGCAGCTACAGCAACAACATCGAATAGCAAGTAGCCCACACCATCAACATCATCATCAGCTGACACCTTCGTCGACGAGCCTCCTCGAGGTGCAACAGCAGTCTCACGCATCGAGAGGCGGCGATGAGGCCGGTGGCCTCATGGAAGTGGAGGCCGGGGCCGGTTTGCCTGGAAGCGGAGGAGTGCTCGCCGTTGTGCCGTCGCCGACCGCCGCGGCGACGGTCGGCGGTATCCGAGCGACAGGGCTTGGACCCGGTGGAACGGCCGTTACCGTCCCGAGCGGCACATACGGGGACGTGAGAGACAACGGGTCGGACAGCGGGGTCAGCTCTCTGAGGAGCGCCGGTTCCGGCGACGAGAGGAGCGGAAGCAGAAGCTCGGCGCTGAGCGTCGAAGAGACTACCGCGACCTCGACGCCCGTGGCACCCACAACCCCTGCCAGAATTTGGCACGTGCAAAGCGTCCAGCACACTTCGTTGCTGATGGCTCATCCGCAGCCACCGCCGTCCACCGGACATTCGGGTCCGGTCACGGCACCTCCGGTCGGTTACCAGAGTTCGACCGCGGCCCCGCCGCCGCAATCGAGTCATCATCATTCCGTCATTGCGTCCGAGATGCTCTGGAGGTCGCAGAGGTATCCACCGCATCCGCACTCTCTGATCGCACCCGCGCAGCCCACCACCGAGGAGATCGTCGAGAGGGAGAGAATGCTGAGGTGAGTGTTTATTCTTTTGCCACGACATAGTTTTCCGCACCAGCCGACTTTTGACCGAAACGAAAGTGTTCTCGTATTTACATTCTCTATACTTGCCATGAATGGATCGCATGGTTTCGGTTACAAAACGTTCCCTACACGTAAAACTCCCGTTAATTCTAACGATAAGACAGAGAAATCATTTGCAATATGTACTATCCATGTACGCGTACACCCACGTACAAATGCGCTTCCGTTGCTTTTCGTAAATCACTGAAAAATAAGTGTTCGTGTGCAACGAACGATTTCTAGGTTGCGGTTCGACGCGACGACGCAATTACGAGTCGAGCGCGTGAAATTCATAGGATTCGTGGCATATACGAATATTTAACCCGTTTAGAGGGAATCTAATTAACTCCGCGCCTAGTCAATAGCGACGTTTGGCTCAGGGAGAGATGCTTAAAATCCGTGCGCAACATCGTCGATTTATTCGCGAAATCATCTTCGCCTCTTCTCCGTTTGGAAATTTCAGTGATGGCTGACTATCCGTGTGTAACAACGCGGAAACTAAAATTTTGTCGAGCTCGAACGGCTCGTATTGGTTTTTCCGTTCTCATTCACATTCCTCGTTTTCCTTCTCTGATCGCTGATTCTGTACGTTCTTGCCTGTCGAGACGCGGAGATCTTGACGCAGATCGTACGTGGGAAATGACTTCTCGTCAAGTTTCATTAATTTTTTGCTAATAATTGTATATACATGTAAGAGAGAGGCGCGTGGACGAGGTTTTCGATTCGTAACGTATGGTGGGCAACGACCTGGCTTATCCTCGAGCCGAGAAAAAAACGAAGCGGTCGTTTCTAATTCGAGAAATCGTTAGAACTGTTCTCTCGTCGACGATATAGAGAGGAGAGAGAGAGAGAGAGGTAGAAAGAGCAGAGAGGGGTTGCTAGGTCGAGGCTTTTCACGAGTGGAAGAACGCGCAACGAGATTTGCGTGGCTAAGAGCCATAAAACGCGTCACGCACACGTGGTGCACATGCACGCGTGTGCGTGTGCGCGTACGTGTGCTCGGCTGCGCGTTCCTCCGAGTGGCTCGACGAGTGCCCAGCCCATTAGCGTGGATCGCGAAGGTCCTCAACCCAGTGAGTCACCGCGGGTTAATAATTACTGTATAGTATGACATAGCGAGTCTTCTCCCTTTCTCCGTCCGTATCCTCTTTTCTCTTCGCATTCACAGCGTCTCGTCGTCTCTCGTCTTCCGTTCCGAAACGATCCGGGTTACCGGCGAAACCGAAAGAATGGCGTCGAGAAGGGGAAGGTCTTGCCTCGATTGCTGCTATTCGGGGAACAGCCGGTATCTCTGATAATCGCGTAAACTTCGGGACGAGAACTTGGTCTCGACGGCGCGCGTATTTAATATGATTCCGCTCCGTTTCCTCGCTACACGTCGACTGTCATTATTTGGCGGTAAAAAAACAGATCATTTAAAGAGCAGGTACGAGGTCATCGATTCGATTATCACGGTGCTCGCTATAATAGGTCCATTGATATTTCGATGGCCGTCGATTGGAGTTGATTGAATTTTTGAAACGCACGAACGATTAGTTTTTTATCGACAAGAACGTTACGACGCGAGACGTCGTCGTCGATACGAATGGTGTTCGCGATCGATATCCGGTTAATCCAGTGCGAAACGTAACTCCAGAAACTGGAACAACCAGTTATTCGACTCGCCGCGCCGCGAACTTGACTCCCACTTTCGCGCTCCGTTGTTAGTCGTTCGAACACTAACCGATCCGCGAGTCGTCGCGAAACGAATCCGAGAAAGACGAGCAGTAACAGATACGGAATTCGTCGCGATTCTAGATTCGTCGTTCACTAGATCGGGAATAATCCGTAGTTCGTTCGAGCGAATTTCTTAGACGGTGATGACGATCGGCCCCGGTGGCAGCGTCGTTGTTTGGAATTGGAAATTCGTTCAGATCGACCGTGAGAAGCGGGACAAGGAGAGAACGCGCGTAAAAGGAAACACCGAGGACGACGCGACGCGGAATCGATATCGGAGCCGAGTCAGAAACTCGAAGGTTGGATAATAATAATTTTTGTCTCGTCCGTGACTGACGAGATTCATTCTTTCATTCGCGAACAACTTCGAGTGATTCGCTGAATCGAAAATATGCCTACGCGTCACGTGCGGTGCTCGCCGCGTGTTCCAGCTGAATACCAAGCGCGGAGGCACCGGCCATCGACCGACGACGCGCAAAATCGTTAGCGCAATTTCGCTTCCCGTTTATTTTCATCGGAGTCGGAAAGCCGTGGGACAACCGTTCCACGCAACGAATCGCGCGTGTATCGGATACGCGGTAATTGGCCCGACGATACTATCTTTCTGGGCTAAATTAATCTCGGCGTACGGCGCGGGCCAATTAAACCGACGCAACGGTGGTTTATCGTCCCTGCTCGATCTGTTCCCCGATCGAGGAAACGATTTTACGTGGGAAAGTAGGACCGAACAGCGTTTCGAATTCCTTTTCGATTTCGATTTTGATTTCGACGAAGCACAAAACGAAGATCGTAGCAGTAGGTGGATCGATCGGAGGAACAAAAAAGAAAAGAAGAACGCGAGAAAGATGGAATGCTGGCAAACGAGAGCGGAGGTCATGGGCACAAGTCTGATTTCGTCCCGCTCCCCGTCTCCGTGTCTGCCATCATTTTTATTTTATTCTCTCCTCATTCGTTCCTTTCTTCCCTCGTTTCTCTTCGTTCGCCTGATGCACGAGGCAGATCGTCAGATCGCAGACCATAGTTACGCGTACACTCAGCCCGCGTAATACGTAATGGGTTTGAACGTAGGTAGGCGCTACATGCTCGAGTAAATAGAAGTCGAACCCGTCAGACCGGTTTTCCGTACCCTCTTTCATCTCTCTCGCTTTCGATTCTTCTCCTTCGACGCGTTCCGCCTCGACGAGCCGATCCTTCGCGCCATCGTTCGCGCCATCCTTCTTCCCGATGATTCTCCTCCCTCGCAACGTATCGGATGTTGAATCGACATCATTCCCCGTCCGCACCTCTGCGATCGATACCGAGCATCGTCCCGTGACCGTACATCGTCCGACCCACGAGTTTTTGGTATTTTTTTTTTCTTGAATTACACGCGAGAGTCAATCGTCTTCATCGAAGCCGCTAAACCTATCTAACGAAACGACGCGTTTAGTCTCCTCGATCGTTCCGCGAGGTGTGTAGGGCGTAGTTCCAGTTTATCCACGTTGCACGAACTAGTCCGCTGCGATTCTTATGCAAATCATACCGTGACGCGCACGATAGCGACTACATACTTACTCGGAAAGCTGTAATCCGCGCGCTATAGACTATGAAGTATACCGTAGGTCGTAATTCGTAGATCGTAAACCGCGGACGTACCGCGGCGGTACTTACATTCTTGCCTTGGCCGAGTTCGAACAAATAGAACGAGACCGGCGCCGAACAAGGCGACGAATTCTCCGATCGTGAGTCGCGCGACGTTTCGCGAAACACGGAACACCTTGACTATGACTCGGCAGAAAATAGGAGTTTCGCCTTTCGTTTCTCTTCGACGGCGTCCGATCGACTTTCGACCAAGCGCGTATCGTTCGGTATCGGATCGCTGGCAAGTTTCAAGGCCGTCGCAGCGGAAGATACGCATCGAACTTGTTGCATACGCGCTGCCAACCGACCGTGAAACTTGCCCGTAACTCGATTTCGTCAACTTCCTCCGGACGGACTGACCCTATCTCTCGTAGGATCCGTTTCTTCTTCTTTTCCCTCGAGCCCCGTTCGCCCGCGTTTCTCCTTTCGGTCGAAATAGACGCGCGCGATCCAAAGATACCGAGGCGCGATAAAAACAACTGCTACGTACTGACTCACCCGAAGCTGCCTGATACACCGCGAAGGAACGGAGATGGAGGAGTAGGTCGAAGAAATGGACGGTGGGAGAAACAGACAGAGAGGACGAGAGAGAGAGAGAAACGCGAATCGACGTGGTCGGCGATAAAACGTTGCCGTTCCGCTGGAACCAGTTTCGAACTCCGTTTGCGCAATTAACTGCCACGGCTGTTTTTCTCTCGTGGGCACACGTACACGCGTACACGCGCGCGAATATCTCGTTTTATACCAGTCCGTAAACCCGTTCCGGAACGACCGAGACACTTCGATCGGTTACGATCGTAAAAACCGATTCGCCGATAGTTCTCGGGAACTTTTTCCTTCCTCTTCCGTTTCATGCGGCCGACTTCTAGCGAACGCGAGCACGATTTTTCGTTCGCCATTTCCACTCATCGTCGTCGAGACAAAACAAAACGTCAAACTCGAACGAACTCTTCGTAGTTCTAAAAAAGATTCCGTCCGTAAAGGGCTAGTCGACAGGTAGTCGTGACCGTTTCCGAAAACCGTAGCCATAGAGCAACGACACTGAACCCTCGGGTCCCCTGATCCCGATAATCGATGAACGAAAGCGTACGAAGGAAACACGTCCACCCCCGAGTTTGGAACATACCACGTCATCGGATCTGAGGTAAAACTGGTTCTCGTTGGGGCGCCGAAACCCGATTTCCCTTCCTTCCTCTCCTCTCGTTTTGTTCCATTCCATTCCATTCTCGTGCTACGCTCGGTATACCGGAATGCGCGCACAGCTGGCACAGCTGCTACGTTATCGCTGCCAATTTGAACAGTGCCGCGTGTACCCGTTGTCCGTAATCGAGATATTCGCACGAGCAACAAACGGAACATTTTGTTTTCCCTCCCTCCTAGCGCGATGCCAGAACTCCGAAACTCTGTCCGATGAATCCTTGCCGCTGCACTCTTTCCGTGCATCGTCAATTTCCCTATCGTCAACATCCGTTTATCGGAACTACCATTGCCATGAAACGCGGGTGAGAGATTATTAGATCCCATTCCTCGTTGACCGATAGTAGACGTTGCTATGCTCACCGGTTTATCGTCGTTCCCCTCCCCCGAGTACCCAGCTGTCTTTATCGGTCCTTCGA